GGACATAATACTTATAGTGATGGAAAAGATCAAATTCATTTACCTTTAGAAGTACATGAATGAATTTCCTTTGGGATTGGTAAAGTTTCATGAAATTAAATAAAGTACCATTTCTGTGTATAGTTGAAAGTTTGGAATAACTTGATGTTATATGGCACAAACTTATAGAATGAAATCTAACTGTAACATAGTTTAAAAATATATAACTTTTGATTTGCAGGCTCTTGGTAACGGTCTGAAGAAGTGTCTGGAGCTTTGTGCACAGCTGAATTTCGGTTCAGTGGCCATTCCAATCATTGGGCCAGGAATTGTTTTACAATACCCGCTGAGAGAAGCTATTCAAGTGTTGACCGACATCATTCACCAGTTTGGATTATCTGCATCTTCTGGATCTCTTACAAACATCCACATTGTCATTAAACCTGGTTACCCTGATTCTGAGGCGGTCAGTGTCAATCAATATGTCCTGATCTGACATGTAACATGCATATCATACTATATCACTTAATTTATAAAGCACTTTTAAAAACAAGAACAGGGCTGTCCTGACCAGACATCAATTCTTTATCGTGTTATTCTGTGTTTTTATCTACAGTGCTACCACGATGTCTACAAACAGCTCAGCTTAAATATGAACCAGGGAGGCCAAGGTAAACTAGCACTACTCAGACTGTCTTCAGTATGTGACATTAATGCATAGTGAGCAGATAAAAAGCATTCAGCCAGTGTCATATTTTACCATCTTCATCAGCACCCTCAGTATCAGAATAAATTTCAGACAAAATCTAATGTGTGGTGTTCTTCATCTCAGCAATCTTCAGGTCCCTCACCAGTGACCTAGATGACATTGTCATGATACTGGAAAGAGGAGTTAAACTACATGTGGTGTTTGGTGACATCACTAATGAGACTACAGATGCTGTGGTGAACACAACAGACTTCCAAAATTTTAACCTTGGTAGGTGAAACACAAAGGCAGGAAGGCGTAGTGAGCAGGATGTTCACCCTGTAACTGTAAAGTTATGTTTAACCACAATGGTAGCATAGCTCTCTGTGGATGCCAAAGGCAGACAGCTATTTATGAATATTTGCTCAGAAATGGGGATGTATATTTGAATGTAATCTTTGAAGATTGAAGTTTTCATTTGGCATATACTTATGAACTGGCACATCATGAAATGAGCACAAGTAGTCATGGTCCCACAATGTAAGTAATTAGTCAGTTACTTATACTTTACATTTAATGTGCATGTGGCTGCAAAACTAACTACTAGTTTACATTTTGTATTTTATATCTCGTACCTATCATGGTTGTAGTTTCACATTTTTTGTCCAAGTGTGGATCAGGCAAATTCAGCAGCATTTCCTATAAATACTTGTAGATTGATTGTGAAATAGAAACAGATCATGTGGCTTGAGTCACTGTCAGAGGAATCAAAACTAAGAAATCAAATGGGTAGAATGTCTGATATTACACTGCATGCATCTGTCTTAGAGTAGTTGAAGTTGATTGAGATTTGTCCACAGCTATTTGATGGATTGCAATGAAACTAATGTAAAAAATACATCT